AGGAATGATATACTGTAAAATATGAATGAATTGACAATTATTGTCTTATATAAAATGATTACCAAAATATACAGCAGGAAGTACGTTAAAATTAAGTATTCTAGAGAAAGATGGACTTTTAAAGTAAGAATGATTTAGCATTGAGTTTGTGTATATTGATGATAGCAAGAAATTCTAGATTTTAACGTTTAATTCCAGTCAGTCAGTCAGTAACAACGTAGAACTTCGTACGTACGTACATCAGTTCGAGTTGCCACACCACATTAGCACAGAGATGCACTTGTCGATTCAAATCCGGTAGTGGTAGAGGTAATAAGAGTATAAGCAGTAATCGGGAAGATTAGGGTTTGGAGATGTTATTTAAAGAGTATAATCCAGTGAAAGAAATTTGGAAAGAGGAAAAAAGGGACATGAAGAATTCAGAAGATTAGAGTTTGGGAGAACACAGAGAGTGGATGCACCTGCGCCATTGCAAACGATTTTGAGCCATGTCATTCAGGGTCTCTAACCATCGGTTGCTGTCATCTCGCGGTCCCCAACCAGGTAGTCTACACCTACCAACATGACTCAGTTCACTTGTCAGTGACTTCATGGACTTGTGCCATGTTTTGGTTTGGCCGCCCCTAGCTTTCTTCCAACCTACTCCTATACCACTGAACATAGCACGTCGAGGCAGTCGGTCGTTGGGCATACGTAACACGTGTCCCAGCCATCTCAACTGATGAAGTTTCACTACGTCATCAATTGATTTGCCATCTTTACCTAGTACCCGTTTCCTAACAACTGTGTTACTTACTCGATGGTCCCATGATATACGAGCAATGTTTCGAAGACACCTATGATCAAATACTAGTAACCTACGGATATCCTCTACTCTTACCGGCCATGTTTCACTGCCATAAAGTAGGACGGAACGAACTGCTGCGCAGTAAACACGTCCTTTGGTTGATAGACGGATATCTCGCCTACGCCATAAATGACGCAAGTTGGCAAAAGCTAGTCGAGCCTTCTGTATCCGTGCTGAGATTTCGTCACACACCAAACCACAAGGGCTGATGAGACTTCCAAGATAAGTGAAGCGGTCGACACACTCAACTACTTCACTCCCTATCACTAGTTCGGGTGTCGATGTAACCCAATCCTGAAGCAACATTTTGCATTTCGAGGGAGAGAATCGCATCCCGAACATGCTTGCATTGTTGCTTAGAGTGGTCAGAAGACTCTGCATTTTGTCAGCGTCTTCACCAAATAAAACTATGTCATCTGCATATTCTAAGTCAACAAGTGAACCTCCTGGTAGAAGTTCAACCCCTGTAAATTTAGATGAGGAGAGTGTTATCTCTAAAAGTACGTCAATGACAAAGTTGAACAAGAATGGAGAGAGTGGACAGCCCTGACGAACACCACTTGAGGTAATCAATTCTGATGACAGTTCGCCATAAGCTCTCACTCTACCAGTTGTGTTCGAGTAGAGAGCCTTTATAAGGTTAATGTACTTCTTTGGTACTCCTTTCAGTGACAAACACTGCCATAGAACCTCACGATCAACGGAGTCGAATGCCGCCTTAAGGTCGAGAAATACTACCATTGTGGGGCGTCTGAATGTGTGTCTGTGTTCTAGAACCTGACGTAGTGTGAATATCTGATCGATACAACCACGTCCAGGTCGAAAACCAGCCTGGTTTTCTCTAGTCTGCTCTTCACGAGCTTTAGTTAGGCGTCGAAGTATTATTGAGGCTAATATTTTAGACACTATATTAGTCAAACTGATTCCTCTGTGATTATCACAAGAGGACTTTTGTCCTTTCTTAAAAACTGGCACAATCAGTGATTGAGACCAGTCAGATGGGATTACGTCCAGTTCCCAAATTCTACCTAAGACCTCAGTTAATCTCATTGCTAATACTGGACCACCATTCTTAAAAATCTCAGGAGTAAACCTGTCAGGGCCTGCTGCTCTCCCTCGTTTCAGATTTCCTATGGCTTTTTCAACTTCGTAAAGGGACGGAGGACTTACATTAACTTGCCATTCAGGTTGACTAGAGATCGTGGGAAACCGAAGTGTGGCTGAAGGCCAGTTGAACTGATCCCTAAAGTGTTCTGCCCATCGATCCAATCTCCTGGATTGAGAATGAATAATATGTCCATCTTTCTCTGAGATTGTTTCGCTAACGGTCGGGTTCCTAATTCCGGTTTCCTTAACGAGTCTAAACAATTGTCTGCTATTACCTATTGCCGCTGCCTTTTCCATCTCTCTTGCTTTCGCTACCCACCACTGTTCGCGATCATTGCGTAGACTTCTTGTCAGCTTGCGCTTAAGCTGACTCCGCTCTTCATTATGTTCAGAGCCAGGTGGAATGAGTTTTCGAGCATCTATCAGTGCGATAGATGCTGCTGAGATCCAGTGTTGCTCCCTAACTTTACGGTTTACCTTACTAGCAGATATCACTGCTGTTTCCACAGCTTTTCGGATATCGTTCCATGCTGCCTCGGGGTGGGCATCACATACATGGCTGCCTAACTGTTTTCCTAGTTGTTCCTGAAATATATTCTTAGCTTGACTATCATTAAGTAGGCCCTAAGAGGTTTCCTTGCAGCGTCTTTCCTACGTCCAGTAAGACGCAAGCAAATACGCGCTCGCACTAGAGCATGATCTGAATCTAGGCATGTGCTCCAGAATGAGCGACAGTCTTCTATCGAGCCCCTCCATCGGTGGCTGATAGCGATGTGATCTATTTGGGTCCAACGTTGGGACGAATTAGGGGTTCTCCATGTTAAAAGATGTTTTTCCTTATGCTTAAAGTTAGTATTTGCAAGGAACAGGCGGTTATCTGAGCATAGCTGCAACAGACGGTCGCCATTATCTGTTCTTTGAGCCACGACACCATAGGATCCACCTAGGTGTCTTTCCTTATCGCTTAGTTTACCTACTTGAGCATTAAAGTCACCGGCCACTATTACTACATCCGAGCGCTTAGCTTTTCGGAGAAGGTCCGAAAGCTTTCTGTAAAACTCATCTTTTACATCATCTGAGCTGCAGTCAGTGGGAGAATAGGCAGAGACGACGAAGAGGCAACGACGAGTGTCCCTATCTTTCCGGATTCTTACTGTTCCGTTCAGTCGGACAGCGCACAAACGACTGTTTACTGGGATCCACTCTAAGAGAGCTAGTTCTGCCCTAGGACTCAATGCTATACCTACGCCGGCGAGGCCACGGGAAGCAGAATCAGGGCTTCCAGATACACGAAGCGTAAATCGAGTCGGTTCTTTATTTTGGCATGGTGAGGTCAAATGAATGACGCTACTTGGATCCTGTATGCGCGTTTCGGAGACGCAGCACACATCGATGGCGCGAGATTCTAAAGTTTTAGCTAAGGAAGCCTGCTGTCCTATTTGGCAAAGTGTTCGTACGTTAAAAGCTCCAACGTGTAGTTTAGAGCGTGGTTTCAGGAGACCAGGAATGGCGTTCCACGTACTCGAATCGTTTGCCCTAGCGGTGCGAGGTGATAAAGAGACGTGAGGAGGGTTAGTCGGGAGGATAAGAGAGGTATTAGGGGGTGTAGGAAGGACTTGAATGTGACCACCTTGGTCTCTTGTGCTGTTACGGGTATGAGGGCTGATGTCACTTCCCGGCTGCCCACACCGTGGAAGGGTATTTCTTGAGGAACCTGGAAAGGAAATTGGATTAGTGTTGGTCTTGACGACCTGGGAGCGTGACCGCAGAGCCCAAGGGACAACTGCTTGAGGCCGGTCGCGCACGGCCTTTTTGTGGAAGACGTTTAATTCCAATATGAATTGGGTACAAGTTGCAACATTTTAGTGTATCCAGTTTGAGTTGTTATGATTGTGAATAACACAAAACCAATTAAAGAAAGGAATATTCAGATTCACATAAAACAGGTGGCTACTAAACAACTTATTTATACGAGAAGGCTACCTCGGATATAGTTTATCTTTACAATTGACTAGATATCTTATTGTATAATCAATGTAATGACTCATTTTATCCATACAAATTTAATGTAACTACGTGATCGACGGTTATGGTGTAGTTATTACGAATTTAGAATGTATGAAACTAGTTCTGTTGCATACGAATTTTACATTGAACGAAAGGAACAGGTGGTGTGATGCACGAAGTTATAAAAGCGTCCGCTATCTATTAGGAACTATATTGATGTAACTGAAAACTAAAGTAATATTTGAGTTTATTTCGACTAAACTGTGGTGTTATTGATCTTAAGTATTTTGATCAGATGTTCACTTGACACTAAATATTAAGGCATGTATGATTTAGCTGTGACAAAACTAACTATCCATGTAATTAACAATTGTTTATTATGCGTACATACCTTGAAGTAATTCCTAGATTGTTGTAAGAATGAAAGGCAATTTATTGTCCTGTTGTTCACATCCATTTGAGCGCATGTTCAACATTTGGGTGACAGCAATAGTTTAGACTGCATCATGAAACAGATGTTTTGTCCAAAATAAAACTGCAAGCTACTCTCATGATGTGTTTACTCCCTACCAGGAACTATAATTTCTATAATCTGCCCTTTGTGGATTCTCACCAAGTAAAGTGGTACTTATCACTGTGTTCACTTCAAACCTCGATACTGACTAAAGCATTACTACGTTGAGAAAAATGGGGCTGAGATATATTATCAGTGTTTGTTGGAGGTTCAACCGAGTTAGTTATGTGAACAACCAATGCATCTTCAGCGTACTAAAAATCCGTGACATCACTCAAAATTAACAACAGATACACTGACTAATCATCGCCTGAACTTTGAAAATGTGATTACCCTTCAATTATTTTCCCCTAAATAATAGCTTGTTAATCCCAACCGCTTACCATGTTTAGTGAATAGTTTTCGGTCAATCTATAGTTTTTTGATTCAATTTATGAGTGATTGTACATTAACGCTTATTCAATACTAAATTTATGAACAACCCCTCCCACATCGAATTAACCATTCACTAGTATTACAATTTGTAAAAAAAAGAAATAATTTTACTACTAAAATTAAAATTACAAGAAATCGTTTTGAGAATCTATGGAGATAGGGAAGCCATTTTAAAAATATTTCTAAATTTAATATTACAAAGAGTTAATGTAAATATGTCAAATAAGAAAATATAATAAAGCAAATTTTACTAAATCACAGCCTTTAAAAAAAAACATCATTTTTCAGCATCGTTCACGTAACTCTCTTAGTTTTGCTTTACGTTCTCGTAAAGCAAGTTTTAATGCTTCCTTTTTTTCATTTGAATCCCAACCACAAGCTATAGATGTTGTAGTACCATCACATTCTTTGGTAGTTAGTTCTGAGTTTAATGGACAAGCAGTATGTTTTCCAATTGGACGATGTACAAGACAATAAGCACGTTTACATTTTGGACATTTACTATTCGATAAAGATAGGCCATCACTATCAGCTAATAATTTACATTTAGATTCTGTGCATAAACGTTGCATAAGTTTTATCATTGCTTCTACATCATTAGGATGAACTTCACCGAGTTTAGCTGATGCGGTTTTCGCTTTGATCGTTGGATTATTGATATCTGGTGTTAACTTTTTCTACAATTAAGATTAAAATGAAATAAGAGAAAAAAAAAATTATATCTAATTGATCTACTATTTTAAGCTTAATTTGTACAAAGGATACATATTCAAAACTCACCTTAGATAAAATCTGAGTGAAATTGAAGATAGATATATCATAATTTCCATAATTTTTAAACATACGTTGAGTTGATTTATTTTATTAAAACAAAACTTGGTACCTAATAATTTCAAGCACAATACAAATATAGCATATCAATATTTCTAAGTATATTGTATTTGAGTATAGCTTTTATCAATGACGTTCTGGAAACAGCTCTGATGTATGTATGTAATGATGATGTGGATCTGTTACTTGGAGAAATACTTTTCGACTTTGAGTATATGGATGATATGGTCTTACTATCCAATGATACCCGAACCATGTAATCCATACTTAAACAGTTGGCAATCAGTGTCTGTAGGTATGGGATATGCTTTGCACCTTTTACTTTTACAAGACTGGTAGGACCCTGTAACTACATTCGCTCTTAGTAGTGGGCAGTTAGAAGTAGTTGAGAAGTTCGTGTATTTGAGGGTATCTGTGTAAGTCCTGGTGGTAACGTGACTGATGAAACCAATCTACGTCAAAGTGGCTGATGTCAGTCTGAGCCATCTTTGGCGCCTTCGTTAGTCTGTCTGTAAAAGGTTGGATCTACAATGCGTCGGTGAGAGCAGTTTTACTCTATGCTTGTAAAACCTGGCCTCTCTAAGTTGAGGATGTCAACCGACTCTCTGTGTTTGGCTGTCGTTGTCTCCGAATGACATGACATTCACTGACAACACCATGTTAGTGGTGAAGAGGTTCGGCAAAGTATGTTCCAGCACAGCGATGATAATTTAACTGATGGTGGCTTGGATATGCACTACGAGTGTCACCCTAGCAAATTCCACATCGTGTATTATTTGCCGGCACTGGGACTGATTCATAAAAGTAGAGAGATTATCAGTATGTGACATGGTGTCGTGTTATGAAAGAAGACTTCACAGAACTAGCATCTGTTGGTCCTTCACGAATCCCCGGTAGGGGTCCTAAAGATGGTGTAAATTGGGCGGCCTGCTTGAGCATCTGGGCTACCTGTTCCTGTCATCTAAATATTTCAACAAGTTATCTATTTTTGTTTGTTTTAATATATCATTATGTATATTAATCGCATAACCCATCCTTGTGCATTTCTGAAAAGTTTACAACCTTTCGTTGTCAAAGTTACTAAAAGCTCAATAAGAGATAATGTGTTCGCGGCCAATATGCAGAGAAAAGAATATACATTATTCAGATGTTTATTTACTGGACTGCTAACATCTAACTGGCTATCACTCAATATTTATCGTCAGGATCGAGCCAGAAGAAAGAAACGGAAACTTGTTGAAATACTTTGTGCTGAGAATTCTATATTGTACCGAAAATATAATATTGAATAAAGCTTATAATAATAATTTAAAAAAATAAAAACATTGTGTCTCGAGATGTTATCAGAATGGGATCAGAATAGAAGCCAGTGGCGATCCTGTTATAAATTACTTTCTTCATATGAGTGAGAGGAGCTTCTTTGACTGAAAGATTTCTTTCTGGTTGTATTTTTCTTGACTGGACTGCTTCCCCAATTTTTTTTTCACTTTCAAACATTAATTTCTATTCACTTTTGTTTCCTTTTTCTTGTACTCACTTTTTTTTCCATCTCTTCACAATCTTATTTTTATTGTGTGCCGCACATATATTTTGATGCCCCTTTGTACCAATGTTCATGTGTTTAGGTAAATGAGTAAATAAATATAGTCGATTCGGGGAAGTTTAATAAAGTTGAATTCCTATGTTTTTCGATTATTTTGAGAAATTTCGAAATACCGACATTATATCCAATGTCGAGCAATCAAGCAGAAAACACAGACAAACTTCTAACTAATCCATTCACTCACATCAATGTGTCCAAAGTGAAGATCGCCATATTATATTAACTGATTTCTTGCCAAATTTGTCATAATACGATCATTAAAATGAACACAGAATTCTGTTTACACAGTTAACATTCACATTTAACTATCACACTGTGTGTTCAATAGTTCATGTGTTTTATTCCAAAACCATTTTCTGGCTTCCACATTTTGGTGGCTTTTTCAGTGTACAATTTGAATAATAACCTCCAGGAATAAAATTATCCATTAGTACAGTGTACAAGGTAGTTTGTGCACCTTTCCATGGTGTAGTAATTAACGTTCAAATTAAAGATTGTATAATGTTCTAAAATGACGAAGATAATTCATTTTGTGATGAAATGAAGAAAATCATCAAGTTAAGCGATCATTTGAGTATATCTTTTCGTAGTAGTAGTGAGAAGCTGAAATTTGTGCTCATTTTAATAAAAGCACTTATATTTATGATTATGCATAGACGTTATCAGGCATGGCTCAGAATAGAAGCCAGTGGGAGTTCTGCTGTAACCTTATTTTACTTTCTTCATATAGGTGAGAGTAACTTCGTTAACTGTAAAAATTCTTTCTAGTAGTATTTTTCGTAGCTGAACTACTTCTATTATTATTGTCATTATTTTTAACTCTTATACACTAACTCAATTTTGTTCCTTTTTTATTATGCTCACGTTCCATTCTCTATCTATTCACAATCTCATTTTTATTGTGTGACACAAATATATTTTGATGTACCATTGTTTGCATCGAACTAACTGTTTGAGTACAAATGATGCTGGATAATTCTTCTGAATGTCTAACAATTAAAAACCTGTTAAATAATGATAATATCAGAATAAAGTCAAATGGACAATAACATCTTGTTTCTAAAATAAAAATCGTCTTTACCATCCCAAAAGCGTTTTGGCTGAATACATATTCGTGTTCAAAAACAGTGAACTTTCGTTTCTTCTGCTAAGTTGGATGTGACTCATGTATTACGTACATATTCATGTATTCAGATAAAATCTACATTTTTAGAGGATAGATTAGTGATACTTTCTAGATCGAAAGAGATAGAGTGGCGTTCAAACTTAAAATTAAATGGTTGATTGCTTTTGACTCGAAGGTCGCTACACCCATTTTTGTTCCTATGTATGTTTTAGTTATAGAAATGTGTTCAAAGTATTACGGAATAGATAGTAAACAAATGTATCAGAAGATAATAGATTTTAAAACAAAATAAAAAGATACAATTAATACTTCTAAAGATGCACACAAAATATGAACTCATGTAAAAAGTGGTTTTGTATACATGGGAGCTAAAAAATTATCAGATTGAATTATTTCTATGAAAACATCAGTTAGTGTGTGTATTCACATCGAAATAAATAACGTTTCCTGATACAAAGTATAACCGCAGTTAAAATACAAATCGGTTTTTTAGATTGATATAATGAATGGATAAATGTTAGACCACCATTGAAAACCTGAAAGCACTGAATGACCGTCCTGTCCCAGTATGGGACTCCTCGGTAGTGTGCATCAATGACCCCGCATGCGGGACTCGAAGGTTGAGCGTGCGCGCGCGAGACCGAATGTCCTGGGTTCGAATCGCGCATGCACAGTGCTAATGAGTCTTATACTATGACGAAACGGCCGTCCAGTGCTTCCTGGTTTTCAATGATGGTCTATCATTTATCCATTCATGATATCTCCACAACCCTATACTGAAAATCTGCTTTTGTAAATTATTGAAAGTTTTTTAGAATTCCACAACGTTAGGAAAAGAGACAATACAAATTCTAAATTGAAAACATTTACATTCGCTAATTTGCCTATTTCACAATACTTAAAGATATCAAGAAGAATGTCATCATATGATTAATACATAAAGTGCATACCGAACACACACGCACACACAGGAAATATGTGACCATAAGTTCTTGAAAAGTTATATCATGACCGTTAAATCACAAATATAATCATAATTAAAACGAACAACAATAAAAAGAAAAGATATTATAGCAACTCTCCTACAGTTAATTCCGACTATGGTTAAATTTTGTTAAGCCCTTTTATCAACTTACTTGAAAGACAATATTATTCGAACAGTAACAATTCGTCTATTTCTTTGTACTACTATGATCACTATCTTGTCTGTATATGCGTGTACACTTGATTACATGACAGCCTACGCACATATCTCTTTCTAGCTTAAATGTTAATCACTTAAATATCGCTCTACGAATCATTCTCTTCCCTATGTATATATGAACTTGAATCCCATTATTAGTCTTTAACTTGCCTAGCTGCACATTGATTCGATCTGACTATAAATTCGCTTCTGTATTTGCTTGCACACACATATATTCGCCTCTCTGCTTCAAATTCGCTCGATGTGCTTATAACTTTGTTGTCTGTGCTATCCGTTAATAAAATGAAGTCACCACTTTTTATTACCTTCTGATTTCAAACACCGTTGAGATTTATGTAATAATGGTTATCAAGGTGATCGATAGACGAGGCTAAGCCACTACAATATCAATGTCAGGATTGGAATTAATAGTTTTAAGTAAATAGAGCATTAGGTAGAAAGTTAATGATAAATATACTATGTGTGATATCCCAATGAGTAGGAAAATTGTATTTCTGATGTTTTGTGACGTAATGTAAGCCACTTCTTCAGAGTAAATAAATACCCGAAATTAAATGAACACAAGTTTAAATACTGTACAATCTTCTATTTATTGGGATGTGACAAAAAAACATTTATTAAAAAGAAAAGATATTCAAAACAATGTTAAACGATTAACTAACCTCTTGTTTAGTTGAATTTAATTTATCTAATTTTGTATCACGATGATTATGACTTTGACTACGTGAATGAAATATTAATTCATTTTTCTTCTTACTATTATTATGTTGTTGTTCATTCTTCAATGGTGGTAGACCTAAACGTTGACGTTTTTTAGCTTCAATATGTAATTGATGTTGTTTCAATCGAGTTTTAAGTTCAATTTCAATTTGTTTTTGTTGAACACCGGCACGACAAATTGCTTCATGTCCGCATTGACTTATAGGTGGAATATGTTCATTACACCAAGAACAATACCAATAATCTTCTGGTATAGTTTGAATTGAGCAATCAATTTTATGAATAATTTTTTTATTTCGTTCAGCTTGTTTTCTACGTTCTCTTTCTTTTCGTATACGTTTAGCACGTTTTCGACCAATCTGAATAAATAAATACCACTTGTATAACATAATGATAAGAGAATATGATATTATGAAAATAGATTTAACAGACTGATATAGTACTATTTGATGATGTAACTAAATTTGTTCTGAAAACATATATCTTGAAAAATTTATAAAAAAAACATTAGTGACAATCTAAGCACATATTCCCTCTTTTAATATTGTCATTTAAACACCTTACAGTAATATCAATGTGATGAGTCAATTATAAGTAATTGACTGAGTCCTTTGTTTGTAAATATATATTCTCACAATTGAATTTATGAGTCAATCTAAGCTAGATCATCATTGAAAACCTGGAAGCACTGGATGACCGTTTCGTTCTAATATGGTGGTCTAGTTTAGATTGACTTGTGAATTCAACTGTGAAAATACTACAATCTCCACAAATCCTCATACTGAAAATATATATTCATTGTTAATTGAAGAGTAGACATATACAGTCGAACTAATAATATTCAACGCCATGTGTATTACTGATACATGAAATTTGTGTAATGATCTAAATCATGCATCCTATTTACAACAAATCTTTCAATAGAGCAGAAAGTAAGGTTGCAACGCAATATGGCGACGGTAACAGGTCTAACTTTATAAAAATACCAATATGAAATATAAACTATGTAAGACACATAGAAAATTCATGCTTATAGGAACACTACACGGAATACGGTTTGCCTATAAATCACAAGGACGAGACACATTTGCCTGACTGTTCAAGATAACAATAACCAAAAGTATATTAATATAAATACAGAGTGGGAAGAAGTCATTTACAATCCTCCATTATAAAAGACTTATAACGTCATGCCTGTATTCCCCTACTAGTTAGTCACAGTTTACATTGCTTGGATTCATTAGAATTGCATGTGAGTTTCAAAAACTATATTGTCCAATTTGTTATATCTATGTATCGGTAGGAAGCTACTATCTTACAAACGATATCTTTGATTAGTTAGTTGAAGGAAGTTTCGAAGTGGTGAAAAATGTTTGTAAAGCAAAAACTACCTCCAGGATTGGCATTAATCTATGAAGTCCAAAAATTCCATTGTTTGATCACATTGGTTCTACTTGAGCCCTATTGCTTATGTTTAGCACTGATTGAATTTGATATTATTTTCTACTTTCTGCATTTTATTTTGTTAACATTTTTTACAATAAATAGTGCTTATTTCAGGTATATATTTAGATGTCAGGCTCCATGTTTTCTACCACTGACTGACTCAGAGATCCACTAGTAAATTTCTAGAACTTGGTGAAAATTAATCATGGCAAATTTCAGCTAGAGAGAAATAGCTTTTTATTCATTTTAAATTAATAAATACAATCAACAGATGACCAAAAGCTGTCCTAATTGAAATCGATCACTAGCTTAAGTTGATTATTTAACACGGAGTAATATATTTCCTACTTAAATGACAACAGTAATCTTTCTCATTTTATCCCCAACTGAGTACTTTTACTTGTGTAAAAAAAAAGTCGGAAAAAAACTAATTCATTATTTAGTTTTGAACAAATTTAAAAGATTTCAAAATCAGAAATGGACATTCTTGAGAGTGAATTAAACAAAAGTCTTGAAATTCTTTCAGTTACTTAATAACCTGCTTCGGTTTGGGCACCCGGGCAGTATCACAGCCCTCACACATATCAAATGAGATTTGTGTGGCGCATATGTATTTGGTGCCTCCTTGTACCAATGTCTATGTGTTAAAATAAATAAATAAAATAAGTTACTTAATAAAAATATTATTTTACGAGGTTTCTACGCTGATAACTAAAACAACAATTCTGTCAGAGTATATTTATATTTCTAGTTGAATAATAATATTTTATCCATGATTCCGAAAGTAAATATGATAAGATTTCGAAAACATTTATGTTATGAAATTTAACACGGAATACTGGCTTACCTCACGTCCTTGCTCATCAAAACTAGCCTGACAACACATTTCTTGATGTCCATTCAAGTTTCCATTACCGGTTTGTAGTTTTTCTAATACTTTTTTAATAAATGAAAGGAAAATATTACTGAAATGAGGATGAATAAAGACTAGAGATTTATGAATGAATATTTTTTATTATTTCGTTTTTAGGAAGTTTATGTTATGTTTTCTGCAGATAACCGATGTCCAAACATTTAAAAACCTCCATTATTGTAAATATCTCATAAAAAACCAAACGCTTTTAAATTGTCAATCAGGACAATCGAAAGCCAGACGATGAGAAAGTGGTTATGGGTGTCTTTATTATTCAGACCCGTAATTTACCTGACTACTTAACGCAATAAAATGTATAAATCTCAACAAGTAGACGACTTAGATATTTTTGAGAAGAAAGACTGAAGAATATGTTTGCAGGAAATTGATCATTACTTTTGAACGACAAACTATATAATAATGGTTATTAGATCAGAAGAAAGCTTACCATTAGGATTACTCCTTAAAATGTGTACACTCACTAAATAATAATTAACCAAGTTTTGTATCTTTTCATTGTTTCTTTCTAACAGGTTGGATGACAGCCATAGACCGAAAAAGCTTATTATAGAAGGATTTAAAGATAGGTTTTTTAAACAATTTTGTGACTAACTAATCAACGTAACACAGTAATCAAATGTAAATCAGCTTGAGCGGTTTTGAACCACATTTTATATATTTGAGAGATGATGATATTAATCGTTTATCAGAACCTCCAATCCAGTGGTAGTAATTTGAGAACATTAATTACTAGGTTACCACTTCACATTTCATAATTAACAAGTTATTCACACTTGACATCGATATAACAGATTGATCTGGTGATTGAGAACTGAAAATTAATACAACTTAGTAAGTTACTAAACTTTGAATCATATCTATTATGAAAGTCAGATGTACTAGAGTTATTTAAAATGAATTAAGTGGGGTTAATATTCAGACGTGACATTAAAACGGAGATTTTTTAAGATAATGAGCCCCAATTACGTAAAAATGTAGAAAGGTTTCTTTCTTATTCGTGTTTGCCATGAGCGTTACTCATAAAACATTAAAAACTCAGTTATTAATTAGATACTTGAGTATGAGAGCCAATGATACTACCTGGTTTCCCAAACCGAAGTAGATGGAGAGGAGTTTGAACCTGGGAAACCTGAACACTCTAACCACTAAAGCTTCTCATAGCAAGAGGTAATAAGAATAATGAAGTTGTTTGGACAATTCTTAGTGAATATTAATAATACCATACAAACTAAAATAATATTAAATAAAACAATAGCATTTCCGACGCTTACTGAGTAGGATAAAAAAATTTATTCATGTGTATAGGGTATATGTCACTAGGTAATAACATGAGTTTCATTTTTCACTTCCCGATTTCACCCTTTTATTTTGAATTACGCATCTAAAGCTTGGTTTTTCTAGTACTATTGACATTAGTGATTGTAACTGCTTTGTTTTCGATTTTGTTCAATATTGATATAAAGTTCAGAAATTTGGACTGCACACATACACGCGCCAGATTCTGAGGTGCATATGCATGAAATTAAAACTGGCGGATAGACGGGATGCACACATATACTACAGATAATTTTAAACTTCAAGTTCAACAAAACCATTAGACACAATCGGCCTTTATTCGATGCTTAAGTAATAAGGGATGAAATCAAAGAGATTCTTCATATTCGTAATTAGCGTAAAAGATATTCAAATTGAATTAGGATCAAGATATGTGATTAAGAATTCTGGTATCATAACTGATATGTCAGTTACTGAGTAAAACCCCAACCCAAATCTGATATTTACGCCATAAACTTGAAGAAGTTTTCTCGTTCTCAATTGGCTCAGTTGTATACTTTACGTTAACCAATTGATAATTTAAGTGACATAGAATAAAATAAAATTACCAATTTTAATTTCTTCCTTCTTATCTGCCGTTTCTTTGGCCTCCTCTTTTTCTCTTAATTGTTTCTGACGTTGTTTTTCTTTTCGTTCTTCCAGTTCTAACTCTTGTTTCTGCTGTAAAGTGCCACGTTTACGAACAACTAAACATTCATCATGTAATCTATCTTTCCCAACAGACAGTATCAAAAGTTCATATTCAGCTGCAAGCTAAATGAAAGATACCAGTTCACTCTTTATATATATATATATATATATATATATATATATATTTGTTGGAGATGCTATATCTCCAAATAAAACGTATGACAAAGAGAATCAATCTTAAAATCTACATCCAGCTAAATTTTAATGTATTTTCATTGTATTAATTCAGAATGAAATATCGCCATTGACTAAGTGAATTCTCGATTGTATCAATTTATTTAGTATGTAATTAGTTATTTGATTGTCAACGCGTTCTCTTATTGTATTACTTCATTCACTGTGATTTCGGGCTCAATAAAAACTGTTCAAATTCATAAAATTCTACTAATAATCGTTTAATGACTAATGCATAATTTGAATAAGATTTAAAGTTGTTTAATTTTTCTAGAGTTTTTATCAAAGAAGCTTTTTATACAAAATTGAACTTTTTACTCTAGTTAACAAGGAGAGAAAAAGGATAGAGATATTAGAGTCAGAGTTGTGAATAATTACCTTAATGTACAAATATATCATATATATACATGAAACAGTTCTATTGTCGAAAATTGGATTCTTAATTAAAAATCACTACTATCTATTGAGATTTTAGCAGTCAGGTTCAGGGTTTCCTGTCGACTACCTCCAACCACCATCTAATCTCAATATATAGTGCCCGCAGTGTCGAGTCACCTAGACTGGTGGCCACATTGCAACATGATCGACCATTCCGTTTGCCATTGGATGGTACGACGTCGTTCGGATTCGTTTAATACCGAGGAGTTCAGTAAGCTGCTGAAAGAGTTGACTTTCGAATTGTGCTCCTCTATCAGTTGTGATAATCGTTGGTACACCGTAGTAAGAAATCCAATTTTCAACTAGGGTTTTAGCTACCGTTTCAGCTGAGGTGTCTTTTATCGGTACAGCTACCGGCCATCGAGTAAACCTATCGATGCATGTAAAGATATAGTTGTATCCATTTGAAACGGGCAGTCGTCCTACAATAGCGATGTGTATATGTTCAAATCTAGTGTCTGGGTGCGAAAACGGACCTATAGCGACTCACATGCAAATGGGTTTATTCTCATTTAACTCAGTTAAGCCCTTTTTGCTAACTTATTTAGCGGACAAAGTCATCCGCACTATAACAATTTATTGTACCCTTATTATTATTTTGTGCTTGTATGAAATATGCATGCTTGAATATTGCTTACGGCCTACGCATTTGTTCACTCTGCTAGTCTCACTACTAACCGCTTATTTGATTCGATTACTCATTAATTTCACATGCTATATATATGTCCATGTTATTCATATGGCTGACTCTGCTTTCTCGCTCGCTTGATTGTACTCGATCACTTACATTCGCTCAGTCGCTCGCTTGCCTGTTTGCTGTTCGGCACAACTCTTAATGCTCGTTTAATGCATCTGTAATTTTGGACATCTGTGTGTGGGGTCTCCAAATGAAAGTAATCAACGCTTCGTATTCGCCTTCTGAATAATATACCGTTGGGGTTAAATAGAGGACGGTAAGCAAGACGAACTGTATACGAAGTTTAAGGGATATATCGAATACCGACCACCACATAATTGGCGATCCCGACGCGCGAACACGAAACAATCTTGAACGACAATCCAATTCCTAAGATCCAACGTACTAGATTACAATTATAACTATCATTTGGATTATAATTATAACTGTGGATTTATTATCTCATTATTTTAATTACACGTACATTATCTCACAAACATTATAGAACATAACGATAATATTCATAATAAACAACGATATTTTTACAAACAATTGATATTTTGGTGCAATTTAGTAAGTCCGTTCTTTGTTATAAATTGTACCATTTGTTTTTATCATTGTTTTTGTCGACTCACTTTTCTCTGTGACATTCGCATTATATTCGTGTACTTTTTGATCTTTATAAATATGTCTTTAAGTAACGATACAATAGAACTTTCCCAAACGCCGTCCGTGAGGTCTATTAATGTAACTATTCCTCCTTTTAAGGTCACAGATCCTCAACTTTGGTTTATCAGACTTGAACATTACTTTGTAGCTAATCGTGTTCATACACAGCGAGATAAATTTGGCCACGCGAGCTCGCTACTTCCAGATGAAGTAGCAGATAATGTACGAGGGATTTTAATCAAGCCAGACATAGAAAAGCCATACGACGCATTAAAACAGGCAGTGATTAAAGCCGTCTCATTAAGCGATCGGCAAGCCATCGAACAACTTCTCAGTCAAGTGCAGATAGGAGATAGGACTCCATCTCAACTAAAAAACTACATGAGAAGCATAATCGATGACAGAAAAGTAGATAAAAACATATTTTATCAGTTGTGGTTACGACGACTTCCAGCGAACGTGCAGCAGATCCTTGCGGTTGAGGACAGCGATGTCGATATAGACAACATCGCTAAAATAGCCGATAGGATTTATGAGAGAATGAAACAAACGAGTCCGCAAAGGCATAGTACCACAGTAGATGGACGAATCGATGCATTACAAAAGGAGATTAATGTTTTATGCCACAAGCTGACGAAACTAAATCAGAGCGATACGCAAAGGGGATGGTCACGAAGTAGATCAAGGGAAAGAAGTCGATCACGTTCTAGGAGACGCTCAGCTCCTACAATATGTTGGTACCATCAAACTTTCGGCGATAAAGCTCGAAACTGTAGATCACCATGCAAATTCAAACGAACACACCGATTGTCGATAACCGCCGCAACAACTACAACAGCTCCTAGAAACAGTCGTTTATTTTACGTTCAGGATAGAGTAACAGGCGCTCAATTCTTAGTGGATACTGGAGCAGAAGTAAGCGTCGTGCCTCCAGTAAATAACGAAACACGAAATATCGATACTGCGCTAACGCTTAAGGCAGCGAATAAATCCGATATAAAAACATATGGCAAGCGAAAAGTAACCTTGAATTTCGGTCGTACTACCTCATTCCGCTGGGAATTCATTATCGCAGATGTATCCGTGCCTATAATTGGTATTGATTTCTTAAAGAATTTTGACTTACTAGTGGATACCCGACGAAACCGGCTCGTGAACGGCGATCATTCAGTAGTGATAAGAGGAGTGACGACTGATCACGCATCCATGAATTTAGTAGTGTCAAAAGACAAAAGCGAGCCATATAGATCGCTTCTAAACGAGTATGCCGATCTGACGAAGATATCATACGATAACAGAGATCTTAAACATACGGTACAGCACCATATTATAACGAAAGGTCCACCGACTAACTCAAGACCACGAAGGTTAGACCCGAAAAGGTTGAATGTCGCGAAACGAGAGTTCGAAAAGTTGACGAAGCTTGGTATCATAAGACCTTCTAATAGTCCCTGGGCGTCCCCATTGCATATGGTTTCGAAGAAGAATGGGGAAATCAGGCCATCCAGAGACTATAGAGCCCTTAACAAGCAAACGATAGCAGACAGATATCCGATACCACATATCCACGACATTACTACCAATATGGAAGGTGCCATGATATTTTCGAAAATCGATCTCGTTCGAGCTTATTACCATATTCCCGTAGCGGCAGAAGATATATCTAAAACGGCTATAACTACTCCATTTGGGTTATTCGAGTTTTTGCGAATGCCCTTCGGATTAACTAACGCAGCCCAAACCTTCCAGAGATTCATCGATCAAGTCGTCAGAGGTTTGACAGGAGTTCACGCATATATCGATGATATACTAGTAGCAAGCTCTACCAGGGAAGAACATCTACAACATTTACGACAGTTGTTTACGAAACTAAGAGATCATGGCATTTCTATAAACACTGAGAAGTGTGAATTCGGAAAAGTCTTTACAGTTTTTAGGTCACAATATAACTTCTCAAGGCATCACACCAATAGCAACAGAAGTCGACGCCATTAGGAATTATCCTCTACCCGACTCATGGAAAAAGTTACGCAGATTCCTCGGGTTAATAAATTATTACAGACGATTTATCCCGAATTGTGCGTCAATATTGCAACCATTAACAGGTGCGTTACGCGGACACGCACGGACATTCCAATTATCACCAGACGCGATTCAAGCATTCGAGCACGCTAAAAAAGCACTAAATAAAGAAGTGACACTAACTAGACGAAAGAGCGAAACACCGTTAGCTATCATGACAGATGCATCAGACGTAGCGGTAGGAGCCGTTTTACAACAATTAGTAAATGGCATATGGGAACCGCTCTCATTTTTTTCGAAAAGACTGAATCCGACACAAACAAGATATAGTACGTTTGGAAGAGAATTATTAGCAATCTACTTAGCAATAAAACACTTCCGTCATATGGTCGAAGGCATAAGTTTTACCGTCTATACAGACCACAAACCACTAACGAAAGCATTAAGCGCAAAGCAAGACAATTATTCCCCGAGAGAGATCCGACAACTAGAGTTCATTTCACAGTTCACGTCCGACATACAGTACGTTAAAGGACAAGAAAACGATGTGGCCGAATCGAATCAAATAATCAGTTAGTAGTAAGACTAGCAGAGTGAACAAATGCGTAGGCCGTAAGCAATATTCAAGCATGCATATTTCATACAAGCACAAAATAATAATAAGGGTACAATAAATTGTTATAGTGCGGATGACTTTGTCCGCTTACCATAAGTGTGCTTATCGTTGCTCGTGACAATGCGTCGGCCACATCGTTTTCTTGTCCTTTAACGTACTGTATGTCGGACGTGAACTGTGAAATGAACTCTAGTTGTCGGATCTCTCTCCGGGAATAATTGTCTTGCTTTGCGCTTAATGCTTTCGTTAGTGGTTTGTGGTCTGTATAGACGGTAAAACTTATGCCTTCGACCATATGACGGAAGTGTTTTATTGCTAAGTAGATTGCTAATAATTCTCTTCCAAACGTACTATATCTTGTTTGTGTCGGATTCAGTCTTTTCGAAAAAAATGAGAGCGGTTCCCATATGCCATTTACTAATTGTTGTAAAACGGCTCCTACCGCTACGTCTGATGCATCTGTCATGATAGCTAACGGTGTTTCGCTCTTTCGTCTAGTTAGTGTCACTTCTTTATTTAGTGCTTTTTTAGCGTGCTCGAATGCTTGAATCGCGTCTGGTGATAATTGGAATGTCCGTGCGTGTCCGCGTAACGCACCTGTTAATGGTTGCAATATTGACGCACAATTCGGGATAAATCGTCTGTAATAATTTATTAACCCGAGGAATCTGCGTAACTTTTTCCATGAGTCGGGTAGAGGATAATTCCTAATGGCGTCGACTTCTGTTGCTATTGGTGTGATGCCTTGAGAAGTTATATTGTGACCTAAAAACTGTAAAGACTTTTCCGAATTCACACTTCTCAGTGTTTATAGAAATGCCATGATCTCTTAGTTTCGTAAACAACTGTCGTAAATGTTGTAGATGTTCTTCCCTGGTAGAGCTTGCTACTAGTATATCATCGATATATGCGTGAACTCCTGTCAAACCTCTGACGACTTGATCGATGAATCTCTGGAAGGTTTGGGCTGCGTTAGTTAATCCGAAGGGCATTCGCAAAAACTCGAATAACCCAAATGGAGTAGTTATAGCCGTTTTAGATATATCTTCTGCCGCTACGGGAATATGGTAATAAGCTCGAACGAGATCGATTTTCGAAAATATCATGGCACCTTCCATATTGGTAGTAATGTCGTGGATATGTGGTATCGGATATCTGTCTGCTATCGTTTGCTTGTTAAGGGCTCTATAGTCTCTGGATGGCCTGATTTCCCCATTCTTCTTCGAAACCATATGCAATGGGGACGCCCAGGGACTATTAGAAGGTCTTATGATACCAAGCTTCGTCAACTTTTCGAACTCTCGTTTCGCGACATTCAACCTTTTCGGGTCTAACCTTCGTGGTCTTGAGTTAGTCGGTGGACCTTTCGTTATAATATGGTGCTGTACCGTATGTTTAAGATCTCTGTTATCGTATGATATCTTCGTCAGATCGGCATACTCGTTTAGAAGCGATCTATATGGCTCGCTTTTGTCTTTTGACACTACTAAATTCATGGATGCGTGATCAGTCGTCACTCCTCTTATCACTACTGAATGATCGCCGTTCACGAGCCGGTTTCGTCGGGTATCCACTAGTAAGTCAAAATTCTTTAAGAAATCAATACCAATTATAGGCACGGATACATCTGCGATAATGAATTCCCAGCGGAATGAGGTAGTACGACCGAAATTCAAGGTTACTTTTCGCTTGCCATATGTTTTTATATCGGATTTATTCGCTGCCTTAAGCGTTAGCGCAGTATCGATATTTCGTGTTTCGTTATTTACTGGAGGCACGACGCTTACTTCTGCTCCAGTATCCACTAAGAATTGAGCGCCTGTTACTCTATCCTGAACGTAAAATAAACGACTGTTTCTAGGAGCTGTTGTAGTTGTTGCGGCGGTTATCGACAATCGGTGTGTTCGTTTGAATTTGCATGGTGATCTACAGTTTCGAGCTTTATCGCCGAAAGTTTGATGGTACCAACATATTGTAGGAGCTGAGCGTCTCCTAGAACGTGATCGACTTCTTTCCCTTGATCTACTTCGTGACCATCCCCTTTGCGTATCGCTCTGATTTAGTTTCGTCAGCTTGTGGCATAAAACATTAATCTCCTTTTGTAATGCATCGATTCGTCCATCTACTGTGGTACTATGCCTTTGCGGACTCGTTTGTTTCATTCTCTCATAAATCCTATCGGCTATTTTAGCGATGTTGTCTATATCGACATCGCTGTCCTCAACCGCAAGGATCTGCTGCACGTTCGCTGGAAGTCGTCGTAACCACAACTGATAAAATATGTTTTTATCTACTTTTCTGTCATCGATTATGCTTCTCATGTAGTTTTTTAGTTGAGATGGAGTCCTATCTCCTATCTGCACTTGACTGAGAAGTTGTTCGATGGCTTGCCGATCGCTTAATGAGACGGCTTTAATCACTGCCTGTTTTAATGCGTCGTATGGCTTTTCTATGTCTGGCTTGATTAAAATCCCTCGTACATTATCTGCTACTTCATCTGGAAGTAGCGAGCTCGCGTGGCCAAATTTATCTCGCTGTGTATGAACACGATTAGCTACAAAGTAATGTTCAAGTCTGATAAACCAAAGTTGAGGATCTGTGACCTTAAAAGGAGGAATAGTTACATTAATAGACCTCACGGACGGCGTTTGGGAAAGTTCTATTGTATCGTTACTTAAAGACATATTTATAAAGATCAAAAAGTACACGAATATAATGCGAATGTCACAGAGAAAAGTGAGTCGACAAAAACAATGATAAAAACAAATGGTACAATTTATAACAAAGAACGGACTTACTAAATTGCACCAAAATATCAATTGTTTGTAAAAATATCGTTGTTTATTATGAATATTATCGTTATGTTCTATAATGTTTGTGAGATAATGTACGTATAATTAAAATAATGAGATAATAAATCCAGTTATAATTATAATCCAAATGATAGTTATAATTGTAATCTAGTACGTTGGATTTTAGGAATTGGATTGTCGTTCAAGATTGTTTCGTGTTCGCGCGTCGGGATCGCCAATTATGTGGTGGTCGGTATTCGATATATCCCTTAAACTTCGTATACAGTTCGTCTTGCTTACCGTCCTATTTAACCCCAACGGTATATTATTCAGAAGGCGAATACGAAGCGTTGATTACTTTCATTTGGAGACCCCACACACAGATGTCCAAAATTACAGATGCATTAAACGAGCGTTAAGAGTTGTGTCGAACGGCAAACAGGCAAGCAAGCGACTGAGCGAATGTAAGTGATCGAGTACAATCAAGCGAGCGAGAAAGCAGAGTCAGCCATATGAATAACATGGACATATATATAGCATGTGAAATTAATGAGTAATCGAATCAAATAAGCGGTTAGTAGTGAGACTAGCAGAGTGAACAAATGCGTAGGCCGTAAGCAATATTCAAGCATGCATATTTCATACAAGCACAAAATAATAATAAGGGTACAATAAATTGTTATAGTGCGGATGGCTTTGTCCGCTAAATAAGTTAGCAAAAAGGGCTTAACTGGGTTAAATGAGAATAAACCCATTTGCACGTGAGGCGCTATAGCAATACAAATGTGGTTATTACAACACAAGTTAATAGTTGGGTAACAAAAAAATTATTTGAATTTTATTCTGCTCATAAGTCTATGGAATTTTGATTCTAGTGTTATCTTATATTTATTGAAAGTTTTACTTCCTGGTTGATGTTATTGAAGAGAAACTTAAACTGAGTTTCCTAGAAGAATATTAATTAAACTGTTTTGACATTTCGTATATTGAACTGTTCAATAGTAGTGTAACTGATCAAATGCACATAGATTTGACAGACTTTAAGTTAGATTGTAGCTGTAAAGACTAGTAATATCATCTATCCAACTAAGCTGAAATAAGTAGTGAGAACTGAACATTTGAGCTATTTGTCGGAAGTCGGGTAATTTGACTAAAAAGCAAATGATCAACTCTAGACACTTTAGATGATGTTAACGTAACATCTTAGTTGAATTTGAGTGCGATTCTAAGGCAGTGTTACAAGAAATAAGTACAGAAGCTCAAAGTACCATTCATCTAAATGATGGTACGTTGATAACTAGAAGTAACAAAAACTAGTTAAATTAACCCCGTATTAATACTATTTAGCTATCACTAGAAAATCAATGTATTATGAGTATCAGATAATATATTGTTTACAATATTGAGAAATATGACGGTTTAATTGAAGCCAATTTACGAACTTTATCCGCACAAATAATTTGCACGTGTATTTATCAAAGGAATGGTAATTATCTAGAGATAATTTCAAGCATTGAAATATGATGCTAACCATCAAATATATTCACTAGCTTACCCTTTGACACAATTTATTCATGACGAACTATATTTTTACTCTTAACAGCTGTTCTCCAAAAAGCATATTAAAATTTTACTTGAAAACATAAACACGAAAGCTAACAAGAAGTAACATACTTGTTTCAGTATACCACGATAAATCTTTGCTGCAAACTTGATAGGTAGTTTTAATTCACATTCTGTCAAATTTCGATAGAATGGTAGAATGTAACACTCAAGTTCCATTACTAGTGGATCTACTTGCGAAAAACATCCATCTGTTTCGAAATCACCATTATCTTGCTCTATTTTTCGACAAACTGGAGCAGTCAAACAGGACCTAATGTTATTTTGACACCTATAAGTTTCTTTTTTTCGAGTATTCAACTTAAGTCTATCTCTCGGATGTTGCAAACTTGGTCCTCCTGGAAGTGAACGAAGAGGAATGGAGCTTAAATCAACCATACCAGGAGACTGTGACTGGTTTCTTACAGAACGAACAGGTAGAGTTACCGTCGCCTCGTTTTTGGGAGTGTTAAACAGAGAGCATTCATTGTCTTCACTAGCGATATAAGAAGAATTAGAATTTGATAGAGCGATTGAACTGGAAGAGCATTCATTGATGCAACCATTGGATAAATATGATTCTAATCGCCCAGTGAATGAAGAACTCATATCTGATAGACCATTAGAGGCATCTTTGTTAACATTATCAGAGTCATCGTCCATAGAAGCGTTTACACTGTAATCCTTATTTGTAAGTAGTTCCATATTATTTTGAGGCTCCGGATCAACAAGTAAGGAAACTGAATCGATAATACGTCGAATCATAACCAAAGATGGTCTTTATAAATCATACTACAACCTAAAATCAAAAAGCACCCAAGTAAAATATTTACAGGCAATATCATACAAAATAAACGAGCATAGGTGAAAAAATCGTAATTTTGAAGAGATACAGATTACGTTTTCACGTATCAGCTGGCGCGATACAATACGCCAATCTTATAGGATGGACCCTTCAGCAAGTCAATAAAGTTATTAAGTATACCAGTAGGGATTTTGAAAGAATCTATCAATTCGATTGCACTACAGAAAACAAATCTAAGGACTTGACCTGGAAACACTCAAATATGGTTTAGCAGAAGTAAATGCAAACCAACAAGTAGCTTAGTCGAACTTCATTGAGTTGATGGTAACCAAACAGTTTTATAAGATTTAATTGATGTAAACTACAACATAGATATAAACTACACAGAACCTGGGAATAATGTGCATCAGTCTAAATTACAATCTTTATATCAGCAAAGTGAAAAACAAACAGTACTTCAATTCCATTGCATGTATTCGATGCAGTTTGACCTGAACTATTTCCTTACTATCTGAATAAGCATAAACCTGTAAAGGGTGTTTATTTTCTGAGACAGTTACCAACAAGCTCCTTATGACTAACGAACCATGCTTTAGGACATCAGATGAGGGTGAAAGAACAATTATTAGTCCCGATAATGTAATTTAGATGAACCATATGTTTAGTAGGAATGACGTTGTCCTACGACTACTCTAACATCTTAAACCGGATAATTTCAGTGGTCCTGATGAAATCCATTCTTAAACTATGTGGGCTCTGGAAGAAATATCTGTCAAAACTCTAGTAATAGTCTTTTTCCGCTTGCCAATCGGACTAAACTGGTTGGAACAATAAATCCTCAAGGTCCTATCATGTCAGGCAGATCGGTCGAAGAGCGGTAAGACTAGAAGCATCAAACCCAAGGTCCGAGGGCGAAGCCATACTGCTGACTATACAGAGGTGTGACGGCAGTAGGGTGTTTCCTTCAAACAACCAGCAAAACAGCGATGCTGCCTTCCAACAAGGAAGAGTGGGATTAGAAAAGGTCGACCCTAAAAATGCGCACCTCGCCTCATCTTACGGATATCCATCTCCGGAGGTAAGATTTCAACAAGTACCAAGCTAACACAAAAAGATTGTGTGTGACCGGACTCAAGCGGTTGTTCCCTGGGCACTGCGGTCACTCTAACACAATTTCCTTTTCAGGTACCTCTGGAAGGAGAATTTTTGATATGTCACTGGACCAGTCAAAATCACCGAGAGACCGGAAGGAAGAAGTAACCAGTTCGATCTACAAAACTCAAGGTAGACATTAAGTCGGCGAATATCATTTATCCACCCTAGCTAATATAGTGATTACGTTGATGGAGAAAATTGTTTGAGCAGTTTTCTACGTCACATAGATAGGAACAATCATTTAGTCAGGAGAAAACACAATTGCAGAACAGCTCTTTCATGTTTGACTAGTCTTCTCATTGCAAGAAAAGATTAGAATGCAATGAAAAATAGATATATTGGTATACGTAATTTTTATAGATCTAAGTCAAGCTCTCAACAAGGCATCTCGCCTAGATCTGGGATCGAAAACTAGTACGTTCTGGTACGAATCATGAGGTTAGTCATTGGGCTAACTTTCTCTGTGAGAAGCGCAAACGAGTGAAAGCAGACTGAAACTGCAAAAGGAACTGGTGACAAGCGGAGTCCCCCAAATAATAACCCAAGACCCTCCTTTTGATTTACAGAGATTATTTGTTTGGAGTTGCTAAGTAAACTATTCTGTTATTTGTGGATGACATAAAGATCTGCAGACCCGCAATACGGCTGATAAGGTCAAATTAGTCTTCAGTCTTCAATAATAAGAACAGGTCTATCGACTTATATTAATCCTTGAAGTTTGTGATACTGTGGAGGTCCAATCTCGCTTTGAGTATATTAACAGAAGGTGCTGATATTACGTGTTCCGGTAGAGAATTCTATTAATTCACTACTCGGTGCGGGAAACGGAACTCCAGACGTAAACGATTTGATCTCGGTTTTAAAACTTCCCTAGAACGTCATCTCAAATGATCAGTCCTAAACGGAAGTAAAAGATAAGACATGTTAATACCAAGGTCATCGTTCAGTATACGATAAGCCAATATTAGATCACCCCGTTAGAACTGAGTTGAGTAACGAGGAAACCAAAAGTAGGTTCCAGGAACAACTGAGGTCACACTTAGGTAGTTATGAAGACGAGGCTGACCCAGATGTTGCTTGGAAGGGCATACAATCAGCTGTGGAAACAGCAGTGACATCTATTAGTGACTTAAACCACAGAGTTGCAAGGAACCAGTGGATTTCTTCAAAGTCTATCACACTGATGGATTCTCGCAAACTCGTCCCATCAGGTTCTGAACATGATGAAGAGCGACAACAAATCAGATCTAGGTTAAGAAAAAGTCTAAGGAACGACCGTGAGCAGTGGTGGGTAACGAAAGCAAAAGAGATGGAAAAGGCGGCGACTATAGGGAACACAAGACAGCTTTACAGACTAATAAAAGAAACTGGAATTAATAAGTCAAGTGTAAGTGAGATTATTTCGGAAAAAGATGATACTCTCATCTGCTCCCAGTCCAGACGTTTAGAACGATGGGCGGAACATTTTACAGAACAGTTCAGCTGGCCTTCAGCTACTCTACAACTACCCTCCATTTCCAGACAATGTGAATGGAACATTGAAGTAGGTCCTCCAACTCTTGCTGAAGTTCAAAAGGCTATAGTTAATCTGAAACGAGGAAGGGCAGCTGGTCCAGATGGATTGGCTCCAGAGGTCTTTAAGGATGGTGGTCCATTTTTAGCGATTAGGTTGACTAATATTTTAGCTAAGATCTGGGAATTAGACTTTATCCCATCTGACTGGTCGCAATCACTTATCGTCCCAATATATAAGAAAGGGTCAAAATCATCCTGTGATAACCACAGAGGGATTAGTTTAACAAACATAGTATCTAAAATACTGGCCTCGATAATTATCAGACGTCTAACTAAGACTCGTGAACTACAAACTCGAGAGAACCAAGCTGGCTTTAGACCTGGTCGTGGCTGCATCGACCACATATTCACCATTCGTCAGGTTCTAGAACACAGGCATACCTATCGGCGTCCGACGATGGTGGTCTTTCTTGACTTAAAAGCAGCGTTTGACTCTGTAGACCGCGAGACTCTGTGGCAGTGTCTGTCATTGAAAGGCGTACCTCAGAAGTACATAAACCTTGTGAAGGCTCTTTACTCGAACACTACTAGTCGAGTCAGAGCTTATGGCGAACTGTCATCTACTTTTGCAACTTCAAGTGGTGTCCGTCAAGGCTGTCCACTTTCTCCATTTTTGTTTAACTTCGTCATAGACCTATTGATGGAAATAACACTCTCGTCGACTGAATTCTCGGGTATTGATCTCCTTCCAGGAGGTCCACTTATCGACTTAGAATACGCAGATGATATAGTCCTGTTTGGTGAAGACGCTGACAAAATGCAGAGTCTTCTGGTAGCACTAAGCAACAATGCCAGAATGTTTGGGATGCGCTTCTCTCCCTCTAAATGCAAGTTGTTGCTTCAGGACTGGTCTGCGTCAACACCTGAACTAAGGATAGGGAGTGAAGTAGTCGAACGCGTCGACAACTTCACTTATCTTGGAAGTCTGATCAGCCCTAATGGGTTGGTGTCTGACGAAATCTCAGCACGGATTCGAAAAGCTCGTTTGGCTTTTGCCAACTTACGTCACCTTTGGCGGAGGCGAGATATCCGTCTATCAATAAAAGGACGAGTATACTGCGCGGCAGTCCGTTCTGTCTTACTTTACGGCAGCGAAACATGGCCTTTAAGAGTAGAAGACACCCGTAAGCTACAAGTATTTGACCACAGATGCCTCAGAAATATTGCTGGCATCTGCTGGGATCACCGGGTAAGTAATAGTGAGGTTAGACGTAGGGTATTAGGGAATGATGGTAAATCAGTTGATGAGGTTGTTAATCTTCATCGACTGAGATGGTTGGGCCACGTATTACGTATGCCTGAACACCGATTACCACGACGTGCAATGCTAACCGGTGTAGGGGATGGTTGGAAGAAAGTTAGGGGCGGCCAAACCAAAACGTGGCATCAGTGCTTGAAGTCACTAACTTCTAGTCTGAGCCATGTTGGTAGATGCAGACTACTTGGTTGGGGTCCGCGTGACTATCGTAACCAATGGTTGGAGACTCTTGGTGACATGGCTCAGAATCGATCACAATGGTGTAGGTGTATACACTCCCTGTCTTCTCTTAAACTAAGAGATTAAAATGACTTTATATCTTTCTTTCTACTAACTAATTCTTCCTTCCTATACCATATCCTTATTGCAACCGTTGACCTAACCACTCCTATGAATCCGGTGTTCATCTTGTTGTGCTAATGAGGTATGGCAACCTGGACCGATGCACATATGTGCCTGGTTCTACGTTGTAGCTGACTGACTGACTGACTGACTGAACGGAAATAAGTTAAGGTGTCTCAGTCTGTCTTCATAAGATAGGCCAGATAGACCTTGTACCATCTTAGTATCTCGTTGTTGGACTCATTCCAGCATCTCTGCTTCATACTTGAGACAAGAACTCGCTGCTTGAATCCCGTATTCTAAATGTGGTCGCACATAAATCGGGTATAATACTCTAAACATTTCATCATCTAAATACTGGAAAGGCCTACGAATAGACCATAATACCCTATAGCCTTTTGCAGCAGCAGCCTTACAGTGACTAGTGGTTTTGAAATCACTGCTTAATATGACTCTTAAATCTTTATAGTTCCTTACTTTGGGTAGCACGAACCCACATATCGTACAGTGATAAGATTCATCATAGTTATTTATTTGCATCACTACACTCTTATTAGGATTTGCTTCTAGTGACCACCTGTCCGACCATGCCACTAATAAGCTAAGACCATTCTGTAATACTATTCTGTCCGACATACTGTGTATGGGTCTCCAAATTCTTATGTCATCAGCGAAGAGTAGAACGGATGATTTTGCTATAGTTGGTAATTCATTTACATAAAGTAAAAAGAGAAGAGGACCGAGGATTGTACCTTGGAGAACTCCACTTTTTACAGGTACCCACGAGGAGAGAGCCCCATTTATCCTTACCCTTTGTCTCCTGTCATGGAAAAAGTTACTAATCCAATCTACAATTGTGTAATGGATTCCAAAACGTTCCAGTTTGAATTTAAGACCAGAGTGGGAGACCTTATCGAAGGCCTTACTTAGATCTATGAAGATTACATCCACAGGAATATTCCGATCTTTTGCAGCAGCCCAACCTTCTCTTGCAATGAGAAGATTTGTCAAGCATGTTAAACCATGTTGTTCCCTGGAGAAAAGATTACGCCCTTCAACATAGTTTGTAATAGATATCCGAATGATGGTTATCAATGTCAGTGTCAGGTGGTACTACCCCCTCATTAGTGTTAACGGAGATTTCACTTTTCCGTCAGTCAAAGTCGGTTGTTTAAGGCGTCTCGAAACAGCAGGTACTACACTGACACATTCGTCACTGTCAGTGCTCGTGTTATCAGCGCGTGCGCCATCTTTCTTCTTACAGGCCAAAGCCAATAGGCTCATAGCCTCCTGTATTAGTAACGTCTTATTTGCACAGCAAAATATGCAAAGCCAATGTGAGTTAGGCTTCGAACATCTTTTGTATGCGGTGGGACTTAAACCGGTGCACATCCTATGGAACTTTTTTCACTCATCACACTGCATTTCTTCCTCCACAGGGAACAAACAGTTTGGTTGTCCACATTTGTGAGTACTACTAACAATTCTAGTCAGATTAAGGTGTAAAACACAATATGATCACAGTGTGAACACGGTGTCAATCAACGAGTAAAAGGATACCACAATACAAACTTTAGCAAGATTTCAAACACTAACTGAAGTACTTTGATTTAGACCAAGAATGCTTTTGATGCAATAATTACACAAAAGCAAGGATAATCTCAAGTACAAAATCACTGCTTTTTTGAAACACCGACGACAAACTATTTTAGAAACGAAAACGATACTCTAATCGAGTGCTTTAAACGAAATAAATTCAAATAAAGTGAAAAAAACTAGTCTTGATACGCAATAAACGATCAAAATAATAGAATCTACTCAGCGAGGAAAAATACTACTGTCCTTTTAATTAACGCGCGCGTCTCAACAAAGATTGTTTGGGTCTAAACTTCATGAGTCATTAGGAATATGTTTTATCGTTGGTATAATGATATATATCGATCGATTACATCGAAAACATGATCTTTATGCCCTACCTCTGATTAACCTAACAAGATGATCCCAGTAACGCCAAATACGTACTACGCGCTCTGAGAATAGTGAATTCAGTCTTTGTTTTTGAATTTTCGATGGACATTAGACTGAATAATTTAGTGCAGTCATGATGAAAATGGCCTATCTGTTGGCTTACATTTAATTTGAATGTGTCGACAAATGGAGCTTCAACGCATGTTGGGGTAAAGAGTAAGTCGTAACGATTAGTGGTTACAGTACAAACATTTGGTTCTGAACTAGCATATGTTTTTGAGGTGTTCCAGTTAATTATATGGCCAAGGGAACAGTTAGAATTTTTAACAACTGGAATCGGTTCGGCACAACCAGTCCTCTCTCAAATGGTAGCCTTGAGGTTCCAAGGATCAACACATTGTACTGTCATTTAACATTTTTCGTCGGCTCTATGGATTTCCTCACATGGTATTCGCCTGCCCACTTCAAGTGTTTGAGTTCTGATTAAGCGAATACTGTATAGAATGCGATAGTATTCGAAAGTGAATCAAAAATTAGATATTTCTTAATGATGTTCATCTAATTTAAAGAAGGATATACATGTATTCGAAAAAGCACAGACTTTCAGTTTATGCTTTTGAAAAGAGTGAGG